GGGGGGGTGGGCAGGCTGTATTCATCATAACATACCTCGTGATTTGCCAAACCCTCGATTGTCATGGATGTTCTAAATTCACCTGGCGGGTGGCTTCAATCAGCATTCTTTTCTGACCATATGGTGATGCGGTAATGACATGCGCAGTGAGGACAGCAGATCTGTCCCCCCATGACGAACTCAGACTCTAATAGGCGGTTACTTAGAGTTTTGTTCTGTCTGTTCAGAGTCTTGTCACTCATGCTCATTCTCAGACACAGGAAACCAAACAGTAACAAACACCACAGTTGAACACACACAAAGGAAGATTAATGAAATGAGATAAACACATCAAAGATCCTCCATATAGAAATGTTCTCACACCTACATACATTAATAATTAAACACACACACACACACATATATATCTATACCCTCGTGGCAGAAGACAATAAAATAAAATGTATTTTAAGAAAAATATGAATGAATTAAAATACTTGCTATTATGCCAAAATTAATATATTCATTTATAATATGAAAATATTGATATAATAAATGAATGCAACTTACAGTCTCTTTTATTGAAAATTTCTTACACATACAGCATATTATGCATGTACTGAATTTAAGAAGAAGATTATATCTGTAACTAACAGAATATTTTTTTAAATAATATTTAAATTTATACTGTAATATAATTAAAGTGCATGCCGTTTTTGTTCGCAAAACTTTTGGGCTCTGCAAAGATCCTAATGAAAACTTCTCACACCTACAGTACATACATTTAATATTGATTAAAAAGAATAATATACCTTGGTGACAGAAAAAAATAAAATAAGATTGAATATAGAATTATAAATAATAAAAATACAATAATAATAAATAAATAATAAAAGTAATATTGTTGTTATTATGCCAAAATCAATATTTTAATTTATAATATAAAAATATTGATAATATATTAAATGCATTTCAACCTTCATTCTATTTTATTCTAAAATTCTAACATCTATATTATGCATGATGAACTTAATAATAATAATAATTGTTATTATTATTATTATTATTATTAGTAGTAGTAGTAGTAGTAATAGTAGTAGTAGTAGTAATAGTAGTAGTAGTAGTAATAGTAGTAGTAGTAGTAATAGTAGTAGTAGTAGTAATAGTAGTAGTAGTAGTAGTAGTAGTAGTAGTATACCTGTAACTATATAAATATTTGTAAAATATATATATTATATATATATAATAGGCTATACAATAATGAAATAATATAAAAACACTTTGGGGGACTAAACAGCAGGCCATCCTCTGGCCACATATTAGCCAAGTTTGTGGAGAAAAGGCAAGCTAGTGTTTTAATGATACATATGACTGAGCTTCTGTAAGGCACTAATGGCCTCCCAGCATGGAAACACTGATATAACATGGCAACCATGTGTCATGTCTGATAGAAACAACAGAGGATTCAAGCGCCTTGCAGGAATGGTTCAAACTTGCCTTTTTCATACAACAAGAGGAATAAACCTCTCTAAACCAGTGATTTAAACTGCACATGCAGCCAGTTCCCATTGCTTCCATTATTGCTGTTGTCACATATAAAAGCATTTTAGAGCCATTAAACATTTTTATTAAAACACATTGGCACTATAGGTTAAGCACCAGAAGACATTTGCGTCTTTTGTGTGTGTGTGTGTGAATGAATGAATGAATGGAAAAGCATCCAATCATTTTGAGGTGGACTTACATTTATTATGATATAATATACGTGCATAAATGTAATTTATCACCTCAATTGTCAAGTATAAAGTGTCAATTAACATCACATCTCTTGGTTGTATAGGTCAGTGCCACTAGTGCAACACGTTGCGATATTGCAGTGCCAACGGACATTCAGTCGATCAATGATTTGTTGTTTTGGCCTTAAAGGGATATGATACAACATAAACAAATGACTGATTCACCTAAGCCATTAAAATGACTGGCAGATATTTCTCCTGAGAGCGTTACTAGAAGCGTTCAGTCCGTGCGAGTCTCCATTGAGCTCGCGCATCTGCCATCGAGACGCGAGTGAAACGATTGAGTCATTTCACAATATTCACAAACAACTGTCTATAGAAATAGCATAAAACACGTTCTTTAAACATAAAAAGCACAAAAACTGATTCGAATTAATCGCTTAACAATCGACTGAAGCTTCAAGTAAAGCGACCACAGAGCGTCAGTTAAATTTCACGATTCATTTCCGATATTCTATAAATACATCTAAAGGAATCTGCTTAAAATCTGCCAAATCGTATAAAAATGTAACTGCTTGATGTTCTTTCGCCTTACCGTAGCAGTTTAGACATGTATCCCTGTTGCTTTTTGGTCGTAAATCTTTGAGGCGGCTCTGGAGAGGCGGTGAATGAGGGGGCGTTAAGAGACAGTTGTGTTCATATGAATAAACGATGGTGAAACAGGAATTAGCCGACAGGACTTGCTTAATATTGATCAAGAGACAAATCACAGTTCTCTAGGAACGGGATGACAGACCTGAACTAATCGAACAAATGATATAGATTCTGTCAGAGAGTGAAGAATGGATTGATTGTAGGCTGTTTGACCATCTCAGAATTAGCCTAAGATTTTAAAATGGCACATAACATTTTCTTTGTAATGTATTTATTTATTTTTTTGATTGTTTCATTATCTGACACACACTTTCAAGCCATTAAAAAACCTTAAAGGGAAAGGAAGTTTAATATGGCTAATGAGGGCAATGACTATTTGACAGTCTATATGACATGTTTTGGTCAGAATGTTACAGTTTTCCCTCTCTGTCTCACACACACACACACACACACACACACACACACACACACACACACACACACACACAGCCTATATGTAGTGAAATTCAACTCTAAGATCAGAGAGCAATTAAATCATATACAAAATTGCTGAAGTTACACTTATTTTACACAACATTTAAAGTTAGTCCACTTAAAATATTTGCAAAGAAAAGCATTCGCAATATCAATTTACTCACATAAAGGGGAGATATCGTCTGATATCAATAAGGCAGGGGGTGGTGGGCTTTGGATCCCTGAAAAGGCATAATGAACCCCCCATAAGAAATTATTGGGGATATGTTTACAGGAAATTAATAATTGCAAACATTTGATTCCAAATAGTCAAATATTGGCCAATTAATCAGACTTGACCAACCAAACTCACAAGATTGTTAGTGTAAAAATGGATCAAGGTGGAAATAAGCTGGATCTAATATACAGTATATATTTCAATTAGTGGCATTTTAAACCACTGTAAAATTGTAAGGACTCCAGTAGGCTGGTGTGACTATTTAATTTAGTACGCCGTGTGATGTATTTATTTTTATGTCTTGGATATGCTTCATGTATTCATTTGCCCATGTGTTCTTCAATGTTTTTTCCTCTGAGAGAGAAAACGGGAGAGAGAGAGAGAGAGAGAGAGACCAGCCACTGTTCGCCCACACATCTTCAGGTAGAGAAGAAAGGCTGATTATCGGCATTCAGTTATGTAGTGCTTCAAACATCCCTCACTGAGAGATGCATGTATTAGAGACTGTGGTTCCTTATACACATGGGTGTTTATTCTGTCACTAGTGTATTTTTGCCATGAAAGCAATTCCTCAGATTCAGTTGATGCTGTTGCAGCAATAATACGATCATACATTTACAAACATGGTGCATTGAGCACTCTGGGTAAATTATGCCTCAAGATTATTTCCCAAGTTCTTTCAAGGCCATTCTAGACGAGAAAGAAGGAATCAATGGAATTTCATGCATGAAGTCGATACTGGATCTAACGCACATGGCCCGAACATTAGCAAGTACTCATTGCTGATGCACTGACCCATCAACTCACACTCCTCCAGCGTTTACTCATTTCTCCACAAGCGAGTCACCCAGTCACTCATTCGCCCCACAGACATGCTTATATTGTCATCTGATTATACAGATATATTAACTGTGGTTTCATTCAAAAGCTTGAAAGAGATACTTTCATCACCCACAGGCAAAATTTCATTAATAAAACCAGCTGGCATTGGCCTCTTTCTAGGGTGTATTTAAACCATTGAGAATATTAAGAAACGTCTCTCTGATGTACAGCAAAACTGCATTGACCTACATAAGGAATATATAGCAAGATGAGAATGATTTGAATGTGAACATGAACTTGTCAATATAAAAGCAATAAAGAAAACCACAATATGAAAACCATGTTGAAATTTACCATGTGATCAATAAATAGATTAAGCTTATTTTTAAGGGTTTTATGCCAAATTACATTGTTTTCATCTTGATTAATTTCACTGACCGCACAAAATACTTGCATCTATGAAATTCTAATTATAATGGAAAAAGGGTAACACTTTATTTTATGCTGTCATATTGCATATCATATAATAATAATTTCTGTATTTTTGTTCTGCGTTTTTAAATATCAAATTAAAGAACAAGCGTACAGTAAATGTATTAGAAATACACTGGACATAAAACACAAGTCATTTGATGTGCATTTTTTTTGTTTTGTTTTTTAATTTATTATTAAGCAAATTCCAGATTACAAAGAAGAAATGCCACGTTTCAATAATAATAATGATAATAATAACTGTAATTATCATCTTAAGTCAGGCACAATTGCTTTGGCATTATGGAATGAAAGGCATGCAAAACTGATAACTGAAAACAGAAAACTAAAGACAGGAAGGCTGAGAGAGAAATTAAGGGTAAAAGAGGAAAAGACAAGTCAAATGAGTGAGGCAGCTTTAGCTTAATGGGACATTGAGAGAGACATATCAAGACAAAGGACAGCCAACCGGGAAAAAGCAAAAATAAATACAAAATACATAAAAAATAAAAACGATTGAGAGGAAAAGTATAAAGATGAAAAAATGTCATGCAAAATGGTACATACATATTTATAAGTCAGACCCTCAGCGCAGACCACAACAACAACAAATGTCACTTGGATCTGTAAGAGCAGAAAGCTCATTATAACGCAATTATTAGTCAAAGACAAGAAACCAACAGATATTCTTCACATTTTAGACTTAAAAGCAAACTAAATTTGTACCATCAGCAATGCTTGAATAAATATTAGGAATCAAAAATCATTCCTCTTGCTCTTTTCATTTTCCATAAATCATACCTTCAATTCTGCATATTTCACTTGTAATATGGCTATAATATAAATTGTTATGCTATGTATTTCTTTACTATCCAGCAGGATCCAGTCCTGTTCTTCATAACTATTCGTATTTCATAACTATTTATGAATATAATACTGTATTTATTTACACATAATAATGAACTCCATCAGTTATAGCACTCTGGAAAATATCTCAAGCTTTTGTGCATTAAAATATTCGTTTTTAAGGGCATAACAGGTCAATATGATAATAGTTAATATTTATTAAGGGATATTTTTCTACAAAGGTCAACGTTTATGCATTGGGAAAAGGGACTGATTTATTGGTATAAAAATCATACTGGACAAACTGTCTTTACTGCATTGCTCAATTGCTGCAGCATCCGCAGGCACCAGGTATGGAAGTGCTGACTCATTTTAGTCAATGAATCGAATACAGATTCATACAACTTGTGGTTCAGACAAGGTACTTCAGTGCTTCTTTGATGCACTAATACTGCTTGACCAGTAGATGGCGCAATACACCAGGAGCTCTCAAGGTGGAAAACAGCCACAGCACATTGCTTTGTGCTTTTGAATTCTTCCTCATGTTGATTGCGGTTATTTTTCATTAACCCATATTACTCTAAATCATGATCTCGGAAACACTGCTGCAATATGCACAGGACTAATGTACAATAGTCACATATATGTAGGTTTACAATTAATCGTTGTAGTAATAATAGCACTAATAAACGAGAAGTAACGACTGCATTTTTAAGATGATGATTGAACAGTGAATTCATATAGGGGTCAGACTCCTTTTCCGTTCAAGGTAAATATGTTCAAAATTTTCAAACGTTTCCTTTTTGTATCGTGCTATACCACTGCTAAACGTTTTTAAAACATTGTGTTTTTTTTTGTTTTTGTTTAGTTTTTTTTTTGTATGAGAGCAGAACAGAACACAAGGCATATTGAGGGCCGTGGGGCCAAGCGTACAACATCCCAGTAAGGAAACATCAGCCAGCTTTGTAGAACATCTACCCTGATGTACAAATCTAAAAACATTACAAATTGATAGTAAAGGACAAATCTTTTCTTTGCCCATATGATAAAATATGTTGGACTACACTAGATGACTACTGCTCTTGATACATTATGTACAGAAATTGCTTGTTGAAATAAATCTGCGACACCATTTAAAGAAATCTGCCACCTTTGGGGCACATTCGTGTCTTTTTGCTTTAGTATAAACAAGAAATGGTATAAATAGCCTCATGGTGCTCATGATATATGAGGTATGAAGGGATGAAAAATGTTAGGGTGTGCAATAAGATTTAAACATTTTACATACAAATTTAAATGTGTACAGTTGTTCTCAACTATTTTCAGCAAGTCAGTATTTTGTACCTTTTCCTGTTTTATTTCTCCACCGTACATTCTTTCTGTATGTATAAATGCTATTCCCTCACTTACTAATCTCGCTCTGAGAATCTGTTAAACTTCATTCAGGCACAGAATTGTAAGTGAAGTGCTTCCTCGTCTACCTCTTTTCAACTTAGCACCCTTTTGAGCCCATAGTCTCTGGAGTTTTATCCTCTTATCTCATGTTATGCCCATATTTCTGTTGTTTAAGTATCTTAAACAGAGGAAATCTAACACGGGGAGGCGCTCATACGCATATGCGCATGGTAGCGAGGGGGCGGGACTGCATATGGGGGCGTGGCCATTGGGAGGGACTGAGGGGCGTGGCCGCCGGAATGAGATGAGTGGATGGTGTGAGGATAGGAAGAGGATGAGGAGGAGGAAGCAGGTGGGAGGTGATAGCTGGCCCCGGAGGAGGGGCCCGAGGAAGTGGGTGGATTGGAGGGCCTGCTGCTTTTGGGGGGAGGAGGCAGTGGGGTCTGGTTGAGCTGAATGGAGATGTCGCTGGACACCTCGGAGCCGCTGCGTCCACGCTGAGGAGGAGGCCACGAGTCGGGGTGCAGGTACTGGCCGCTGTAGTCACTGCATTCAGACAGGCGAGGGCGATACAGCGCAGGGTGGGGCCGATACATCTCTTCTTCGGCGTAACGTTTCATGAAGAGATAGACAGACATGACACCAGCACCCTGGCAAAACAAAACTAGTCAATCACCAATATTATTCATTTTAAATTCAAATTCAAGTGTCTTTTTTTTTGGAATAGCACAGATAAAATGTAAAAACAGATAAAACAGGAACCCTAATGATCCTACAACCCAACAGGTATCACTGCAAATAGATGTTCTGAGAAA